CTGTTGCTGTCAGGAGACCCAACCGGACACGCAAAGCACAAACCAATCACAACTGTCTGCTGCCTCATATGAACAAAAATGTGCTGTAAATCTTTTATCAGAGCAAAATAGACCTGGACATTGGTTACAGAGTGTGATAGTAACGTTTCCAAAGACAATAGTTAAAAGGTGAATCTCACATGTTCATCATAGTGATTATCATTCATTTCTGCTCGTTTAAATAAAAAAATAATTGAGAATCACCATATATATATATATATGTGTACGTGTGTGTGCGTATGTATGTATGTATGCATGTATATACGTATATATATATATATGAAGAGTTCAGATGCAAAAGCCTCTAAGTGCCATTTTTAATTTTTTTCTAAAATGATCATTTTTATCAAGATTGTATATTTAAGTTCAGTAATTTCACTTAAATGGCAATGATAATCACCTATTAATTGTCATTTAAGTGAAATTACTGAACTTAAAATACACAAGCTTGATAAAAATGGTCATTCTAGAACAAAATTTCAAATGACACTTAGAGGCTTTTGCATCTGAACTCATCAATATATATATTATTTATCATATGCTTATTTTATGCTCAAGACACATTTATTGTTATCAATGTTGAAAACAGTTGCTTTGTTGAAACTGTGATGGTTTTTTTTTATTTCCAAAAGAGAGTTTTTTCTAGTTGAAATGGAAATCTTTTGTAACATTTCATTCATTTTTACTGTCACTTTTGACCAATTTACTTTTAGTCTTCCAAAATAAAAGTATTAATTTCAAAAAAGAAAAAAACTTGAACGAGTTTGTGTGTGTATATACATATGCACGCATAAAACATTCACAGGTGACGTTGATCATCTCCTAACAAAGGTCTGGGTAGATTAAGCAATCCGTTCTCGTAAAGTTAGATGCAGGAATAAAGGTCTGAGCGAGTTTGACAGGGGTCAAATTGTTAGGAGAAGGCGACTGAGTCAGAGTTATGTCTGAAACAGCAAGGTTGGTTAGCAGTGGTGAGAATTTACCAACAGTGGTCGAAGAGGGATAAACCACAAACCGGCGACAGGGTGTTGGTACGAGTGCAACGAACGAAGACTATCCCTTTGGTCTGAGCCGACAGAAGGTTTACTTTCGCAGAAGTCACACATTATTTTAATGGGAAGATGCATCACATAATCACTGGATATAGAAATTTGACACAGGCCACCTACCTAAACATTGTTGCTTTATGACAATGGTGTTCCCTTATGGAAGTGGGCTCTTTCTGCAGGATAACGCACCCTGCCAGACTGCACACATTGTTCAGGAATGGGTTGAAGAAAATTATCAGGAGGTCAAGGTGTTACCCTAATTTCCCCAGATCTCAATCCAATTGAGCATCTGTGGGATATGCTAGACCAACAAGTTCAATCCACGGCTGCTTCGCTTTAAAACCGACAGGACGTGAAGGATCTGCTGCGGACATCTTGGTGCCAGAAACCACAGGACACCTTCAGGTACGGCGGATTATTAGGCAGGAGATCATGGTAATGTTTTGGCTCATCAGTGTTTATGCATAGTATAATTTAGTCTAAATAAATATTTTTTGTTTGAAAAATTCAATAAGAAGAAAAGTACAAAAAAAACCCAGAAAAATAAAAAGTTCAAATGTTCCTCTTAAAAGGTTAAATCTTTTCTATACATAGTTCCCACATGACGTCACAACATACGGGCATTTGCCGACCCGGCGCCATTGCTTAGGGCAAAACATAAGAAGAAGCAATACGAGTTGAACGAAGTGAAATGAGTTTCGTGCTATAAAGTGAAAATGGTCATCTCCTGCTGAGTCAATGGATGATAAAATCGTGCCGGAGGTTCAGTTAAATCGGGATTTTACACGATACCCGTCATTAGACTCCATATGGATGTGAGAAGACTAAGCTTTTGTCCGAACAACGACGGAGATTATGGCTGGCGAGCATAAACAGGAAAGAAACTCACTCAAAACACGCAAGAATTTGTTTGACAAAAGCACAATGTTGTGTTTTATTGCGAGTGTAAATAAATATAAGTTAACACATTGCAGTTTGAATAATGTCCTGTATGAACAAAATGACGAGGTATTAAAAACATACAAAACAACATTGTTTCCACTGTTTGATCTCACATTCCAGCATTGCAATCTCAGATTATGTCCCTAAAGATCCCGCGTATAATGTAGTTCCTCATTTATTACATTAATTAAATTGCACGCGAGTTATTTATTTTAATATTCATGCACCGAACCATGACGCCCGCAAGTACATGCATATTACAGAAATCACTGGTGACTGGGGAACATAGGAATTAAGTTGTGCAGGCTATGGCTTTTTAATAGACAGATTAGCATCATGCTACTTCGCTATGATGACTTAAGTTACTTTTCCATTGATTGCACTTGAGCAAACGTCACCAAACCAACCCCACGTCAATCTGATCGTACACCTCCAGTGATTTCCAGGCTTGGAATTGCTCACATGTGTAAAAACTCCTCACCAATACCAGATAATTGTACACATGAAAATACTGTATCTGAGGCAAAGTTGCATAATCGGTGCTCAGTGCTTCTTTTGTTGCATAAGGATACACACCATTTATGAATGAAATTTTCGCATTGTACCCCTCTATGTCTTGTTTTAATAGTCTCTTTATAATCTATTACACTTTGTCTTTTCATGATTTGCATAACAATATAAACAGACATAAATATTTGTTTGTAAAACGACATTCTCTGATAAAACGTTGTAAACGCCTATGGTAAACACAGCGGTTTTGCCCTCAAAGATGGCGTCTCCGGGGAGGTCACGTGACAATTTTTTTGCCTGTGGGAACTATGTATAGGTGGTTTTCCAAAGTTACTAGCCACTTAGCAGTTTCTCTGGCCACAATTTTGACGTCAATACAATGGGAAAAAGCTAACATGTGGATATTTTTAATTTGGCATCAAGGCTGCTGTCACTTTAAAGGTGGGGTGGGTAGAAATTTTCTAAACAAACTTTTTCCCAAATTTGTTTACCAATACTTAATTAAAATGTAAGTCGTCTGAAGAAGAAAGTATACGAATCGAGTGTCTGCAGTCCTCTCAGTGCTGCAATAAACACAGCTCATTATTTCCTGTTAAAACAAATTTGGGAAAAAGTTTGTTTAGAAAATTTCTTTAAGACCTGACACACGGATCCATTATACTGTCACACATGCGTTTTATTTCTCAACTGTTTACATTCACTTAAAACATAACTGACTGTGTTTACTTGGCATACTTGCCAAGACCCGCATTTTGATATTATGTTATGTGTATTTGACAATAAGAAGCAAACTTTTAGTGCTGAGAGTTGGCTTTATGTGCTGCATTTTGGGTGTGAACACAGAATCTGCGGGGATGAGTAAAATTATGCACAATACCACGCCAAAATTCAAGCCCTGTAATATTTATCCGGAGCAAATGAAATGAGTGAGTGAGGGGAGGCAGGTTTGTGTGTAACTCGCTCTCGGAGAGATGAGAGAAAGAAAGCCCAGCTGGTATATCTGTTCTGTGGAAAATTAGTATTGGAAGCGCTTCAGATATTTCAGTATTGATGTGTATCGAAAAATCTATATTTTTGACAGTACTATTGTGCTTAGTTTATTATTGCAGATGCCTTTTTAAAAGACTACAATTGAAAATTGCCATGTCAATGTCAAGCCCTGAATATAGTCCATTACCAATGATTTCTGGCCGAAGTTGTCAGGATGGAGAGATCTTTGCAGCTCCAAGTATCTTTTCTGAAGTTTTTGGGTGTCCAAAGAAAAAGTTTGCGCACTGAGAAAAGACAGATATGTCAGGATGTGATCTACAATGAAATTGAAATACAATGACATTTTCTAGTCTAAAGTATCTGTACAGTTCTGAATCAGTGTAAATTATAAATTATATATGACAACAATGTTATGAATTTTGAGAAATGAAAGTAAATAAAGAAAGCAACTTTTTGGAAGTTCAGAACCAAGAGGATAGAGATACTGTAAGCAACAATGACTCCATAAGTGATGCATTCATTACTATAACAGAAATGTATGAACTAAATCACAAGTTGACTCACCAATTCAAAATGTCAAAATAATTAGTCTTGTCATCAGCAGGTTGGATCGCATTACAGGAAGAACAGAAAAATAATGCAGCTGAAGATCCACAGTTCCAACAGAGTCTGTTAACGTTACCAGTGCTGAAAGATTTCAGATTCAAGTGTCCTTTAACTGCATTCCAGTGATTAACGTCTTTACTGTGAGAGCTGGTCGCTCTTTCTGGAGTTAAATACGACTGTAAAACAATGTTAAGACGTTGTCTGTCTGATATACATTTGTGTGCGTGATTAAATCCGAAAGATGTTGACAGAAATCGGAGCCTGCATAGAGTTAACATGATGAACCCCCACAGAGAGTAAACGGGCGAATACATAATATTACTCTACTTCCTGTCATGAACGCCAAAAAATTTTCAAAATAAAAGTTTGTACTTTTAAAATGCTTCGTCGAATTTATGCGACTTTATTGTATTATATTATTTTTTTATAAGTTATCTGTGAGTAATGACTGTAATTGTTAGGATGAGACAGGACCTGTGATGAGTCATTTTATGACAAAGATTATTATATTTAGATTATTATTATTATTATTATTATTATTAACTCAAAGATTAATTTTCCCTTCCACATTAAAATATAGTAAATAATTATATATATATATATATATATATATATATATATATATATATATATATAATTTACCTTTCCTTTTTGCACCCTATTTGTTTTACGATTAACGTTGTTGCGTTTATTTTCTTATATTTTCATCTATATTTCTAAATTTGATCTATTCTGAATTATATCTACTAAGTTACCCTTGTATGTGTACTTTATTTTAATCGAATGTTGGAATGTTTTATAAACAGCATTTCCCGTGAGCCTTTATTCTCGTTTCTGATTGGCTGAATGATGTTATGGGAAGTTCATGGATGGAAGTGAGTGGCTTTTCCCGGCAGATTTGATGAGCAGCTCACGTGGCCTGCATAACCCACTTCTGCAACTTTGATACATTTATAAAGAGGACTTGATTAAGGTATGCATTACGATAAGAATTGAAAATAACAAAATTAGATCATCTGAGGGAAACATGGATGCTTTATTCTTCTGAAAAGAAGCAGTTAGTTTCCTCTATCGCTCGTGCCTCCATAATGCTTTACAGTGCAGCTCTTCACTGTATCCGCGTGCTGCCATAAAGTAATGCACATTTCAACATTTGAAGTATTGTTTGTTTTCCTTGGCTCATCAATCTGTTTCTTTACCAAGTTTAGTTTGATTGCATGAGAGTCGGTGGTGCATGAAATTATTCCGACCTAAAATCTTTTAACGTTAGATATCGAAATCTGAAAGGTGACGTTGAAGCAGTTACTTTCCTTCAAAGCACATTATTAATGAACATCTTTCAATCATGTGTCAATCATTTCACCTTGATAAAATCCCAGGTACTCTCCTGCATTGAAGGATAAAGGATAAAGTTATACTTTAAAGGCAACGTATTAAATTCATTGTTTGCAGAGAAATTAATTGGAATTTAATTTGGAGCTAATTTCTTAAGTTATCGGTGAAATTGTTGCTTGTAAAATGTATGCACGTTCACAATTGGTTTTATGGAAGGGTCATTAGGTGCAAACGTAAAATTGAAAAGTGTGATAAGATGCATTGAAAACCTTAAAAGTACTATGTAAATGGGATTAAGTATAAAGTGTGTTTCGTTGTCTTATAATTAGAATATAAAACAAAATATGCTACAACTAACCTTCTCAAGCCATTAAAACACTGCAAAATGACTCGGATAGGTTCAAAATTGCACACTAGTATAGTAGTAAATAGTATTTACTATACAGTTCACATATCTGTGTCATAGGAAACCTGGAAATATCAGGACATTTTAAAAACAATTCTAGGCTTGAAAAAATCGTAAGTAAAATTATAAGAAGACGTTTGTGCTCATGTCATTCTATTAAACATACTTTTCAATTCACAAACAACTAGAAATCACACAAAAATGTAACATGAATATACTGTTTGAAACGCTTATCACGTACAATATTGTGCAGAATTATATGAATTTTAAAGCCCCACCAGTTTTGGGCTTTAATTATACTCTGCATATAAGTTTTAGACTGTTGTTGAAATTTTGTTTATTTTGCTGTCTGTTCTTCCAGAGTTGAATACATTATGTCGGACGAACCTGGACCCAGTGGTCAATCGCAATCCCAGAGCCAGTCCCAAACCCAATCCCAACCTGGATCCAGCTCCTCATCCGCCCCAACATCGTCAAGCCAGGGCTCTTCCTCAGGATCAGGAACTCTAAGTTCTGTGGATACATTACCTGTACAAGAACTCCAATCTATTCCTGAAGACCAGGAGGAAGCCCAGCCTCATGTGTGGGGCCGGATCATTCCCTTAGTGCATGGATTCAGTGTGCTCAGTTAAGTGTATCGTCTTCTTGCTCATAGAAACTGAATAATGTGAGCGCTATGTAGCGAGCAAACATAGAGCCAGACTAATATATCGGCAGGCCGATATTATCGGCCGATATTGGGCATTTTCAACTATCGGTATCGGCAGTTATAATGACCGATAAATGAATATTTCTAAAATAAAATAAAAACGGACGAAACACGCTTGATAACACGTATAGTTTGTCCACCAGAGGGCACTCTACACCGTCCCTGTTGGCAACACTCGTCGAGTTGGTCACGACTCACGACAATTAAAAGGACATCCCCGTCAGCTCTCTTAACTCAAATAAGCATGACAAATTTGTGACTATCATGTCCAGTTTTGCTGCCGTTAAATAAGCCGAGAGTGAAGCGAAATCAGCTAGTAATAGTTACTTTACGCTGTTACAGTGAAGTTGACTGACTGTCCTTTTAACTGTTGACAATGTGACTGAAGTATTTCTTTAATAGCACGTGACAGTTATAGCAATGAGGCGTATCATCTCTCCTTGGCCTGTTATATATTGAAAATGTATGTTTTACAATTTGCAATATGACGTAATACAATACATTGCTAAATTATGGCTTAATTATGGCAAATTTAGTTAAAACTCATGGTAACACTTTACAATAAGGTTCATTTATTAAACATTAGTTAATGTATTAACTAACATGAACTAACCATTTGTTACTGTATTTGTTATTCTTTGTTAACGTTAGTTAATACAAATCTAGCTGTTCATTGTTATTCATGTTAGTTCACAGTGCATTAACTAATGTTAACAAGATTTTTCAAAAGTATTAGTAAATGTTGAAATTAACATTAACAAAGATTAACAAATGCTGAAGAAGTATTGTTCATTCTTTGTTAATGTTAACTAATGTAGTTAACTAATGAACCTTATTGTAAAGTGTTACCAAACTCATAAATAACTACAAATGTTAGGGAAATCTGTTAATGTTTTGTTGCGCTTTTCTGAAAAAAAAAAGAAGAAAAAAAATCGCCCGATATATCGGATTTTAAAACCAACAAATATTTGTATCGGTATCGGCCTTCAAAATCTTTATCGGTCGGGCTCTAGCGGATAACGGCGCAGCGCGGGCGCATACTCTGATATCACAAGGCAAAAACCCCGGTTTCACTGTCTACACGACAACACTGTAACCGGCGTTTCTGAAAATCCTCACCCTGGCAAGGGTTTTCAAAAATGTCCGCTTTCAGTGTCCTGATACTGCGTTTCCGTGTGGACGAACGGCCGAACCGCGTAAAAAAAGTCACGGTTATAAAAATACCCGTGTCCGTGTGAACAAGGCCTAAAAGAGTCTGAAAATGAACACTTATTATACGTGTACAGGGTTGGGTATCGTTTGAATTGGAACGATTCTGATTCCGATTCCTTGATTCAATTCCGGTTCCTAAAGATTCTCGATTCCGATTCTTTAAAGAGGCAGGGTCAAAAAAGTTTAGCTAACCTTGCTAACCAACGGCCTTCCTGAAGGAAATACTCCTTTCTGGAAGAAATAATCCTTCTGTCACAAATACTCCTTTTCTCACAAATCTTGCATTTTGCCGTAAAAAGTGAAGCCACACTTTGGACCGCCGACGTAAGCTACTCATGTTCGACTCGCGCGGTTATGCCAACACGCTTCTTCGTTGGTGTCGTTCAGCGGTTTCTTCTTCCGGTCGGCGGACTGTGAATATCGAAACTAGGAATCGAAATTTTAACTTTTGAACGATTCCGAGAAAAAACGAAAAGTTAGTCCCGGTTCCAATCGATACTCAATTCTCGATACTCAACCCTATGTAGCTTAGTGATTCCGGATAAGACTAAAACACATGATGTACTCGCTCATATTATAAATTGTGTACACTTTTTGTACACAAAAAAAAGTTACGGATTGCAGCTTTAACATATGTTTTTTAACCATTTTAGTTAACAATAACAACATGGCTTCTTTGTTTATATTTTCCAGATTGCACAGAAAACCAGTATACATTTGGAAGGGATAGCAGATGTGATTATGCTTTCTTGAACTCCATTATAAAAAAGTCAGCACGTTACAAAACATACAGCAAGAAACAATTTAGGATTTTTAAGGTAAGACTAACATTGAGAAGCTGTTCGTTTAGCTTGTTTTTATCCACTTTCTTTTGACAGAATGTGTACTTCAAAGGTGATATTCTTAAAATGTTCCTGTTTTATTTTTATTATTAGTGTTAAAAAAGACAGAAGACAACAGTGCTAGGTTGTAACTGATTACATGTAATCTCGATTTCATATTATACTTGTAATTGGATTATATTTTGTTTTAAAATGCTCATAATCAGACAAGTTACATTTTTATTGATTACATGATTACTTAATATTCACAAAATGGCAGTATAATTCATAATTCATTGATTTCTCCCAAACGATCTTTTAAATGTTCCTTTCTAAAATAGTCTATTTACAATCTTATTGGATATAATTACACAGAAAACGGTGTTTTTGACCAACTTTTGTTAAAAAAAAACATATTGAATTAGTTTTAATCATTACTTATTACCTTTTTTATCAAGATACTAAATAATTTCACCAAAACCCTGACATGATGTAATATGTAATGCATTTCGTGGTATTTTCAACAAATTTTCATATACATGTATTTTATATAACAGTATGGTACAAGATCATCCGATTCAATTGTAATGAACAAGCTTGGTCAAAAGTAATCTAAAAGTAATCAAAAAGTAGTCCTGTTATATAATCTAAATGAGTAATAATAATAATAAAATTTATCTATATAGCACTTTTCAGGCATAAAATGCAGTTCTTTATATGCAAAGTGTTTTATATAACATATATTTTATATATTTGATTTCATCACATTCAATAAAAACGTATCCATCAAATCGAACATAAGAGCTGTAATACAATAGATGATCTTTTCAACGGTTTCATTATGTAAATTGTATTCAGTTATGGACTAAAATTTGTAAGTAATCTACCCAGCACTTTATCTCTGTAAACTCCCTGTTATGGGACAACTCCTCTTGCTGAACAAATGAATCATGGCTGACTGTGAATTGTGCATTTCTACGATGGAGTCTGGTGTTAGTCAACGCTACATAAATCACTAGGCATTAAACATGTGGTCTGTGTTTTACTTTGCTGCTGTTTCAGGATGATAGTCTGGTGTACCTCGAGGACCTCAGCGGTAACGGCACGTGGGTGGACGATGAGAAACTAGGACAAGGGAAGCAACGAGTTCTCAGCAATAACTCAGTTATTGCCCTCGCTGAACAAAAACATCAAGGTTCGTCATCTTGGTTGAATCTCTTCAGGAGTTCATGAAAGTGATAATTCTGATATTGACTGTCAAGTTCTAAAAAATGCTTGGATATGATTCTGAACTCTGATTGTTTTTTTCTTTCCACAGTTTTTATGTTCATAGATAAGATGGGGAACGATCAACCAAACCTTCCTTTAGAGTTCAGCAGAAAATATCATATTGCACGAAAGATTGGAATGTAAGTGAACATGATTTTCACAAACCTTTAAATGATATATTTAAATATAATTTTGAGTTATATGTCTTGGCTTTATTATATTGCATTTATGTTCTTAGATGACATAAACAGCAGCTTCCTGCACAATACTGTTTATTTGATTATTGCATACATATTTATTTATTTATTTATTGCAATTTGGTGTACTTGAAACAAACAAAGCCTTAGTGCTCCGTTCAATTCTGATTTATTACTCAGAAATATTTTGTTTTGTATTTTTTTATGTGGTGGCCAATGTCAGGTTTAGAATATATGTCTCGATTTGTGTTTTATGCAATGAGACATTAGTGTAATGTTGGATGCCCTGCTAATGTGTTTTTTTTTAATATTTTCTTATTTTATTTATTGTGTTAGTGTGTAAATGAAAGTGAGTATTGTTTTAGAGGTTGCACAAGCAAATTTCGTTGTAAGATTCTTCTGCACAATGACAATTAAAGTCTATTCTATTGTATTTTCTGACAGCGGCGTCTGTGGTGAAGTGAAGCTCGCCATCGAGAAGGATACCTGTAAAAAAGTAGCGCTGAAAACTATCAACAAAAATGACTTTCCATCAATTGGGGTAAGAAACGGCTGTATTCACTAAACTCTTGGCATATGAACATTATTTGTATAGCGCTTTTTATGATACACATTGTTTTAAAGCGATTGTACAGAAATTATGATAAATGTAATGCCTTACAGGGGTAAGTTTCTTAGTTCTTTTCCTTATATATATATATATATATATATATATGGAAAAGAACTAAGAAACTTAATAAATTCAAATAAAATTTGATAATAAAATCAAATGAATTCAGGCTTGGCAAGTAAAAAAATACATACATATATATATATATACTAGGGGTGTAACGGTACATGTATTCGTATTGAACCGTTTCGGTTCGAGGCTTCCGGTTCGGTACGCATACAAACCGAACGATTGCTTGGACCATTTTTCCTGCCGGCAAAATTCGTGCTGACGCGGCCAACACAACGTTGCGCAACATCAAACGGCAAGCGTAATGAAAGCAGAACGAAACTGCGCTACTCATTATGTGCTTCACGGATCGTTTATCAGTTCGGACCAGCAACATCTGTGCAGCGCGAGACGATCTCGATCAAGTGACACTGTTACTACACAGCGCTAAGAGATCCGGTAAAGAAAACATTTGAATTCGCCACTGAGGTAATAACATCGCTGCAAGATCTAGTGAGATGCATTCACATTTCTCCGTTATTAACCGTAGATCTCTATTAGATCAAACAGCGCTGTCATGGAAACCAGGAGAAACATTGTGCCGTGAATGAACTAGTAATACTTTCGTCCACAGACCAGCAACATTCACCATGGATTTAATATAGTAACACTAACTGGAACCAGTTTGGCTGGAATGGTGAAATGCTTTCAAGTACTTCACACATCTTTTTCCAGCACTTCAAAATTAAAATATTATATAAATAAATATATATTTAAATGTTATTTTTAATGCACTCTCAGAAAAAAAAGGTACAAAAGCTGTCACTGGGGCTGTACCTTTTCAAAAGGTACACTTTTGTACCCAAAGGCTGCATATTGGTACCTTAGTGGTACATATTAGCACCTAAAATGGACATATTACCACCTGAAAAGGACATATTAGCTCATGACATTGACATATTACCACCTAAAATGTACATATTAACACTTAAAATGTACATATTAGTACCTTAAATGTACATATTACCACCTAAAATGGACATATTAGCTCATGAAATTGACATATTACCTCCTGAAATGGACATATTAGCACCTAAAATGTACATATTAACACTTAAATGTACATATTAACACTTAAATGTACATATTAACACGTAAAATGTACATATTAGCACCCAAAATGTACATATTAACACCTAAATGCACTTATTAGCTCATGAAATGGACAAAAGTTTACCTTTTGAAAAGGTACAGCCCCAGTGACAACTTTTGTTCCTTTTTTTGTCTGTGATGACCAAAACATTATTTGTTCATCCTTCAAAGATGACCCCCATTTATAAACCTGAAAGTTTCAAGATCTAGGAAAACTCACACTCACACTCAAAATATTTTTTTCTTTAAACAAATAGGAAATTTCTCTGGCATTTCTTTCTTTTTGCTGTATCGAAAACGTACCGAACCGTGACTTTAAAACCGAGGTACGTACCGAACCGTGATTTTTGTGTACCGTTACACCCCTAATATATATATATATATATAAGGAAAAGAACTAAGAAACTTAATAAATTCAAATAAAATTTGATAATAAAATCAAATGAATTCAGGCTTGGCAAGTAAAAAAAATTAAAAATACATACATACATATATATATATATATATATATATATATATATATGCATTTTATTTTTATTTTTTTTACTTGCCAAGCCTGAATTTATTTGATCAAAAATGCTGTGAATATTGTCAAATATTATTACAGTTTTAAATAGCAGTCAGTAGGAAATCCTTCTAATATCCTGATTTGCTGCTAAAGAAAGATTTCCTATTATTATCAATTTTGAAAACGTTTGTGCTTAATATTTTAATGTAAAAAAATGTTATTTTTCAGGATTATTTGATGAGTATAAAGTTTAAAAGTACAGCATTTATTTGAAATAGATTTTTTGTACATTTATAATTGTCTTTACTTGTTCACTTTTGATCAATTTATTAAGTATTAATCAATAAATAAAAACATTTACTGACGCCAAACTTGTATATTATATGTAAGCGGGTAACAGTTGAACACGTAAAATAGTTAATTATCCGTTTTTTTCTGTAATATTAAAAATGATAGAATCTCTATAATTTTGGTTTATAATTTATAACATTTTAGTAGTTTGAGAATCTTATTTCAACTCTTTGGTGATGTGTATCCATGATTTAAAAAGACGGTTTAATATTTTGGTCGTTTGCCCACACCTGATTGATAAAATGTTCTGTTTGCTTTTCACAGACGGCCACACGGAATGCCGAACGGGAAATTGAAATTTTAAAGAAAATTGATCATGTAAGTCATGTTGAATAAGTTTTATAAATGTTCCAGAGTTATTGTACATATCTCATTATTTTCTCCCCCCTGCAGCCGTGCCTGATCAAGACAGAAGATTTCTACCAGACAGAAGATTCTTACTACATTGTTCTGGAGTAGTAAGTCCTTGTTGTGTTTTATTATGGAAGAATTGGGAACATGAATTCGCTGGTAGAATTTACTTGGCCAAATCATTTCTAGCTGTATTTTATTCATAGATACCTTTAAAAGTAGTTTGTCGTGAACTACTCGAGAGGGTAATACTTTTTCAAAGCACTGCATAGTATTTATGGATGCTTTTTTTCCACCACAGAATAAAAAGTAATTGTGACTTTATCTTACGTCTCTCATTTTCCTTTTTTTTTATATATATATGGAGTTTGTATCTCGCAATTTTGACGTTTTCTCACAATTCCAAGTTTATATCTCACAATTCTGACTTTTTTCTTGCAATTGTGAGTTTATATCTGAAAATTTGGGGGGGGGGGAAATCTAATTGTTAAATATAAACTTGCAATTCCTCACAATCTAAGTTTAAATCTTGCAATTGTGAGTTTAGAAATCACAATTCTGACTTTTTTCCCTCAGAATTGTGAGATATAAACTCGAAATAGTGCAAGTTTCTTGCTATACAGTTTTTTTTTTTTTTCTCCAAATTTTTAGATATAAACACAATTGCGAGTTATAAATCCAAATTATGATAGATAAGAAAAGATTGAGAAAAAAAGTCGGAATTGTGAGATATAAAGTCGCAATTTCCTTTTTTTATTTTGAAAGACCTTATGGCTAATAATTTTGTTTAATAATCGTTATTTGTTTTCTCTTTACATGATTTATTAAGAGATGGTCTATTCTTAAACATCACATATCTCTGTACTTTTTATAGTTGCAGTATAACTCTATATACTGTAAGTTCATCACAATTTGTAATCAAGCATGACAGCAAACAAATTCACATTCAATTTCATTATCTCTGTGCTGTGTAGTATTGAAGGAGGAGAGCTGTTTGGCAGGATCAAGGCCAAGAAACAACTGGAGGAAGATATCGCTAAACTCTACTTTTATCAGATGCTCAGGGCGGTGGAGGTACGTCTTTATGGGGGATATGCTTCAAACGGCATCAATCTCTAAAAGTGTTTTTTTAAATGAACAAAGCATGAACCTGCACTACATATCCATAGATGGTCGAATGATTAAAATCAGTCAACTGACACATGTCAAATGTAGAAAGATAACTTTGTAGTATCAAATAGGGATGGGCATGATTAATTGACGAACGATTATTGATCATTAAGAATTTCGTCGATCACGTTAATTTGTTCCCCGGACTGGTGATGTTCCCCGGAGGTACCTGTGCATCCCGCCGGCAACGTCAGTCCCCTCATCAGAGCGGTGTTTTCAGCGGCTGGACTGAAGCATTTGTTTACATTTGACGCGTCCGCACGAACGTGAAGGACAAACGTGACAACATTGCGGTATTCGGTGTTTCACAGTCAGGCGAGCGCGTCGAATATAAACACCTCGTCCGTTTGGGCAGTCTGCAGAGACTCGCGCTGAAGAGCCAGGCGAAAGTGCAAACAAGGCCCATGCAGGTTGCGGTCGCGTCTGACCCCAGATCATGTCATCAGCATGCTTATCTTTCTCAACAAAAGTCAGTAGACTGGAGCAGAAGTTGTATGTGAGTTATTTTTTATGAGGCTTTATGAAGCCAAGCCTAATTGATTGTTAGATAGGCTAATCTCTCTCACCCTTTCTCGACCTTTTTTTTTTTTTGACAACCTGTCAGACCTAAATATTACTATGTTTTTGGTTAAGTTATTTTTATTATTATTTATTATTTTGGAACAAACGATGGTCTCACGAGGGCCAACTCACAGCTGCAGGTTCAGTTGCATTAGAGCACCGCCGCGCATATCTTCAAATTTAGCCTAACCGAACGCCCAGTTTAACTGCCACAAGTTGATAATCTTGTAATAAAGATCTAATTGAGGAAAAACTCGCTGTATTTTTGTATTTTCATTTTGCATTTTTAATTTATAAAAAGTTAAATAAATAATAAATTTTAATATAAAAATATTAATGATTAATCGATAGTCGATCATTAATTCTTCCGACGACCGACTAAGAAAATGTAATCGAATGCCCATCCCTATGTTTATCAAATGTTTAAATGGTAACTATGGAAGCTTGTTTCCGCCACTGAAAAAAAAATCTAAATAATAATTGCGACTTTTTATCTCACAATTGCGAAATATGAAGTCAGAATTGTGATAAATAAAGTCGCAATTGCTAGATAAAGTCACAATTCTGAGAAATAAAGTCACAATTGCGAGATATAAAGTCGCAATTCTGAGAAATAAAGTCGCAATTATGAGAAATAAAGTCGCAATTCTGAGAAATAAAGTCGCAATTGCGAGATATAAAGTTGCAATTATGAGAAATAAAATCGCAATTGTTAGATATAAATTTGCAATTATGAGAAATAAAGTCGCAATTGCGAGATATAAAGTCGCAATTAGGAGAAATAAAGTCACAATTGCAAGATATAAAGTCGCAATTCTGAGAAATAAAGTCGCAATTATGAGAAATAAAGTCGCAATTGCGAGATATAAAGTCACAATTGCGAGATATAGTCGCAATTATGAGAAATAAAATCGCAATTGTTAGATATAAATTTGCAATTATGAGAAATAAAGTCGCAATTGCGAGATGTAAAGTCGCAATTATGAGAAATAAAGTCGCAATTGCAAGAAAAAAAGACTCACAATTTAAGACTCACAATTAAGATTAAGACTTTTTTTCTCACAATTGTGAGTTTACATCTCGCAATTCAGACTTTATAACACATAATTGTGAGTTTATATTTCGAGATTCTGACATATTTTCTCCGAATTGTGAGATTATATCTCACCTTATAAGGAGAGACGTGAGATACAAGATCATTGACTAAAAATAACATTACTTTCCAAAGGATCCGAATGCGATAGCTCAGTAGAGCATTATGTGTTTGTTCGTTACATTTCCTTTTGGATGCAATTTAGTCTCAAAATCGTTATTGTCAAAAAGCCTATTAAAGGCTCTGGCTTTTAAAAATGTTTTACATCGCATTATGTATCATTTATGCGTTTAGCAGACACTTTTCTCCAAAGCAACTTACATTAGAGACACAGCAATTAGTCACAGAGCCAACAATAATCGTATTGTATAATGCCAGGTTTATTAGAAAGCTACATTCGGAAACAAGCTTGAACAGAGATGAAATGGAAAGAAAAATGGATAAAAATAATAAATTATATTTATTTTTTCCCAGTATCTCCACAACAACGGGATCATTCATCGAGATCTCAAACCTGAAAATGTGCTGCTGGCTTCACATGACGACGTCTGTTTGATAAAGGTGTGTTTACCAGTTCCTGACATCCATTGTCTTTCTAGTTCAAACTGGATTCTCAACGCAGGCACATTCTCAATGCTTTGCAGATTACGGATTTTAATCAGTCCAAGATTTTGGAGGAATCCTCCCTGATGAAGACGCTCTGCGGGACGCCCACATATCTCGCCCCGGAGGTGTTCACACATGCTGCGACTGTAGGATATACAAAAGCAGTAGATTATTGGAGCCTGGGCGTCCTACTGTTCATCTGGTTAGTGGAGATTAAATATGAATCAGTTGGATCCAGTTCTTAAAGGAGTAGTTCACCTTAAAATGAATGTCTTTGACTCAAAACGTTCAATAAAATATGTGGAATGATATACTGTCCATTCTTTTGAAACAAAAAATAATGAAAGTGAATGAGGACTAGGGCTGTCCAGTATCATAAATATAGCCAATATGACTGGTACACTATTTTCTAAGACTTTTGAATGAGGAACCGACTGAAATTTAAGTTTAAGTAATCTCCAGTAGAGCTGGACAATGAACTATATCATATTGAGATCGCAATAAAAAAAATTATTGTTACTTTTTCAAAAAGCAATAATATAATTGAAATCAACCATTTTTGTTATACTCAAAATTCACTTATTGTGTCATATGGAAGAAAGTAAATGATGAAATTGGTTTAAAACCATTTATTTAAATGATGGGTAACTTGCATGTAAATAGAAATCTATAGAAATACTTTTACAATATTCATGAATGATTGGGAAAGTCAATTCATTGGTCAATGCATTTAGAAAACCCTGAAAGATGATATGTATATTTTGTGCCCTTAATCTAAACTTGTATGAATATGATATTTATTTCTAAAGCAGTGTGTATCTCTATTGTCATAGTTTGGGTGGTTATCCTCCCTTTAACACCGAGGGCTCCACCATGTCTGTGCGTGAGCAGATCATTAACGGCCTTTATCGCTTCATCCCATCTCAGTGGAAGAATGTTTCAAACGAAGGTAATGTCTTTGGTCTCTACTAACAACTGGATGGTTATAGTTAAATGGTGTGCATGTTATATCAGTTTATATTTTCAGAAATATTTGAACTTAACAGCATACAGTATGTTATGTATTAACTTTCAGCCAAAGATTTGGTCAAGAAGCTGCTGGTTGTGGATCCTCAAAAGCGTCTGAGTGTTGAAGAAGCGCTGGAACATCCGTGGTTGAACGTATGTGCTGAAAAAATATAATATATAAATATATAATATATCTATCTATCTATATATATATATATATATATATATATATATATATATAATAAGATTGTAAATAAAACAAACTGTTTTACAAGAAAATACTAATTCATTCTCTGTACTTCAAAATTGTGTTTAGCTCCATCTGTTTGTGAAATATCCTAGCTATTTCTATAACTATACTATAACTAGTATTTAAAGTTGTCACCCTTTAAATATTTAAAATGTGGTTGATTTCAATACAATACAAAAGTGTTTCGCAGTATAAAAAGATCATTCAAATGTCTGTGTAACAGGATGGCGAGATGAGAAACACTGCAAACCAACTGATGAACCCAGAAAATCAGCCTATGAATCCTGAAAACCAGCCGATGGGTCCTGAAAACCAGCCGATGGGTCCTGAAAACCAGCCGATGGGTCCTGAAAACCAGCCGATGGGTCCTGAAAATCAGCCTATGAATCCTGAAAACCTGCCGATGGATCCTGAAAACCGTCCAATGAACCCAGAAAACCAGCCGATGAACCCTGAAAACCGACAGACGCGCAGTGCAACATCCAAGGTACAACACCAAAATCATAAATAGCATTCCTGGGGATGGGGTTTATGTCAATTTTAGGGTTGGTGATGTCACTAACCCAGAAAGAAGCTTGTGTAGTCCCTACCAGCTGTTTATTGTAGTCCTTAAAACGCTATTTCTTTAAAAAAAATAAAAAAATCTCCCTTTGTTTTAAACGTTGAGCATCGTGACTTTGCAGATGTTTTTTATGCTCAAACAGCAACATTACACGCTAACTAAAGTCAAAAAAGTGAAATCATAATCAACCACCCCTTTAATAAGACAAACCATGCGCTAATCAGTCAACACTAGGGGTGTAACGGTACATGTATTCGCCCCGAACCGTCACTTTACTGTGCATACGGTCAGTCACAGGCAATACACACTCCAAACCAAAAGGGGGCGTGCATTGTAACGCAATGCCGTTTGCTAACCGCCGCAACAGGAAAAAGACCCGAAGAGTCTCAAATGGCTCGAAAGAGCTTGCTAGTAGCCTATACGCTAAGTTTCGGTTCATTTTTGTGACTCGCTCCACTAACTTCACAGTAAGGAAACGGAAATCCTGTTTGCTTTCTTTATTTTACAAATAAGTGTACACAAATAAAAATTGACCCTTTACAGTTTCGAACGTCTTACTCTTATCTGTATGACCATAAATTACGTTTTATTTTACGTTGTTTCCACTGTTGAAATGCCTTTTAGATGGCAGCTGTCTAATTCTGAGATGGCAAACTGCTGTTTTGATGATGTTAAGCAAAAGGCTAATCGTATCAATTATCATTTTGTGTTGACTTTCATTCAAATTCTGAATGATTTACGTAGCCTAGAAAGCAAAGACAGCTCCCTTTATAATCACTAGAAAACTGTCACTCATCTCAAATCATCTTGCGATCTCAAATGTTGTCTACACTGCACAATGAATATTTCATTTACATCATGTCTACACATCATTAGCCATGTTTTCATCGACACGTTTTTATCCGAATTAAGTGATATCGAATGAAAAATGCCTTATGGAAACAGTAAAATTCGATGAAATTTCATGAAAATCGACTCAAATGAAATACGTTCGGTCTCATCGGATTTTCTCTTGATCGATATACGGCTAATGCGATAAAAGCTGATGGAAACGTTATTTGCCGAATAAATAATGAATTGCGATTAAGTTTTATGCCCTTTTATGGTTGCAACACGTCAGAAGACGAGTTAATTTCTGGCCTGTTTGCGCACACATGGCGGATGTCAACAAAGACAGATCTAAGTGGACAAAGCAAAAAGATGCTTCAACCAAAGGGTTTCCGTGAACCACGATCTCCCAGAACTGATGGAGCGCTGTCGTTCCCACACCACAATCACCTCCGCTGTCGTCGGGCATACGTGCATCGGCATCATCATAGCAATGTTTATAGCGTCGTTGTTTTCTTAGGTTAGTTTTGCTTGTTTTTACGTGGCTTGGTTGAGTTCTAATGTAGAATGTGTCTGTTATTTCTAGTTAACAGACTGCGGCACTGCTAGTATAACACACCGTTGCCATGGACGCAGTTCAGAGACGGAACAGACTATTTTCTTTAGCAGAAGCAATACTCGTTTTTAAATCAATAAACTAGTTTTTAAGTAAATATTTTGTGTCAAATTATTGATTTATTTATTTATTTGGTTGATTTATATGTAGGCTAATAAGCAGGATATGAGCGGTTGTTATAGCGAATACAACCAACAACCGCCTCGCATACATTATCCCATTCATATGTCGCTATCAGCTGGCACATAAGCATTATTAGCCTTCAACTTGTGAAATATTGATCATTTTTTGGTAGATGGCGCGATCCGTTTTGTCTAACAAAAGTTTGTTCGCAAAAGTTTGCTTGAATGTTGTTCGATTCAGTGCGAAAATAAATGGAAACACCTTAAAATGTCAAATCAATTCGATATACCAATTCGATCGCAAAACAGCATGTGACGTCATTACGTACAGGTTTTTATTCGCTTTAAAGCCGTTGGATGGAAACACACTTTCACCAGCTTTATCGCATGAGTTTTTTAACCGAATTTCAGATAATTTGATTGACAAGTGGATGGAAACATGGCTACTAATGAGAGGATTCACGAGCACACAGAACTCAGCCCTGAACAAAAACTTGACTGAAGTAAACGCCTCTGATTGGTCACCGCGCTCAGGAGGTCAACAAATACTACTGTATTTTGCTACATTGCTCACTACAGCAAAAAAAAAAAAAGTTGTATATAGAAATATTTGACATTCTTCAGACGCACACGGAGCACAAACACTTTGCATATTAATGTATCCATGTATACTAAATGAAGCAAGGGTGTAGAGTTGCATTCTAGATATTTTCAGGCATGAAGAATAATGTTATAGTGATTATAAAAAAGATGAGTTATAAGGGATAAATTTTTGGGGGGAAACTTGGATTGTTTATTCTTACGGAGCTGAATTTCAAATCAAAACATTGTAATGCTACATTTGTTATTAGAAACTCAATGTGATTTTTAATTCGACATTTTCCTCACAGAAACGCAAGACCGATGAAGGAGAGGGTGAACCGTCCTCCAAGAGGAAACCCGGGCCTTGACGTTCACACACTTTTATTTCCTGGTGGCCTTTTAAAAGTTCTTTACTGTGACCAATTAAATCCTAATCGTCCAACACTGTACTGCTCTTGTAAATACGTTTTTGTACCGTTTCTTGTCAACAATAAAATGTTTTAACATTTTCTACTCTGATTTTGTTTCTGATTTCCTCTGCATATTTAATGACATGACAGTTATCCTTCGGACTTCGATATTCATTTCATTTGTATAAAGTATAGAGAATCGATGACAGTGCATAACCCTTTGGAGATCCATTTATGACGGACATTGTTTTTGTGTTATGTTTTATGTCTGAAATGAGCTTGTTGTGTGCTGTTCTACACTCCTTGTGGGATAACATCCACGTCTTGCTGACCTTTATTGGTGACAGCCAGGTACTGGATTTGATCGAAACTTTGACATTGTGTTTGTTTTTTGTTAATAAAATAATACATTTAAGCATTATTACAAGAGAAAGTGCTGTTTTCTCAAATTCACAATTGTAAATTACTTTTATACAATGGTTTAATAAACAATGGGTTACTATTTGGCAATTTTAGTCGCAATATTGGCAATTTTAACAAAAAAGGGTTTTTTTTATTTTTTTATTTTTCATCTAAAACTATTTGAAACAACTTTTTCATGTTTCATTATAGCAGACTTCATAGGTTTTGTATTACTGCACAGGTTTTAATTTGACGCATGGGACCGTCAAATCCAGAGATGCTTGAAAAGGCGTTATCAGACCTGGACGTCATGCTAGACAAGCTGGAAAACATGTTTCTGAAGAGACAGCCCCTTCCTGTGCTGTGATGACATCTCATTGGCTGACTTGTTAGCAGTTTGTGAGCTCATGCAGGTACTGTAAATACTTGGTTGCTAAACATGCTGTGAATGTTTACACAGACCTTAGTTCACATGTTGTTGAAATGGATGTTTGGAGAAGTCTAAGCTATAGGGGTAAAGATCTTTAAAGAGTTGATATAACGCTCTCTTCACAAGTTGTAAATTAAATATCTGATGTCCTCTGTGTGTATATATGAAGGATTAGCTCAAAATACCCCACAGATATTTTTATATATTGTGTTAAAATTGTCATTTTTAGAGGGTGAGCAAAAACACACCGTGTTTGTGTGTGTCCCTTTAAATGCAAATGAGCTGCTTCTCTGGGGTCAGGGGGCGGAGCTTCAACAGCTGTCCTTTTACCTCAAACACGCACTGAAAATGTCAAAAACTTTTAGCCTTTTATGTTTAAACTCGTATCTAAGACTCTTTCTATGTACACAAATATTTTCTGTCAAATATTGTTCACAAATCTGTCTAAATCTGTGTTAGTGAGCACTTCTCCTTTGCCGCGATAATCCATCCACCTCACAGTTTTATAATTCAAGAAATATTACAAAATTTTGTAGATTCTGCATTCATTCCACGTTGTAATTGCCGCAAAAAAGCTCTGCTTTCTAATCGCTCTCACTGTACTTTGATCCCATACAACCATCGTTCTGCACAGCGCTGCTTCAAGTCAAACACACCTTAAATCTGCAGTGGTCAGGTGGTACAAGTCTGATGCTGCGTTAGTCATCTCGTCTAGATCGTAATTACGAGTTGAACGCCACCGCAATGTCGTAAATACCAGTGGGGAGCTCGGGATTTTCTTTAAGCCCCGATCTGTACGAGTTGGGGGCGTGTCAGTGAGAAACGTTCATTCAACGTCTGTTAACTGTAAATTTTAATTGAATTTCAATGTTTACTCATTGACATTGTAAGGCTTTTTCATTTATAAAGCAAGCTCTCTGCACAAAATATGATATTATTATAATATAAAAATTATCAACTTTAAGATTATTAACTGTTACAGTTTTAATAAGACATTTTCATTACAGATAGGTAAAGCACAAGAGTTGAAGACAACTCATCATTCAAGAGCAAACCTGGGTCTTGATGTTCACAAACATTCATTCTTGTAAATACATATTTTTCCTGTCAACAATCAAATGTTTTTACAATTTCTTCTCCTTAGTAGATTATAAAAATGTATTAAATCGTCACAAACCATTACATTTTACATTTAGCGAACCACGCTACCATTTGTTACATCCAAACTTGTGGATAATATACGCCTCATTTCAAACCCTTTATTAATCAAACATGATATTGAGCAAACTGCATATCCATGTTAGACAGATACATCCTTAAAGGAGAACTCCGGCGAAAAATGAACCTTTGGTCTAATAACACATTGATACCAAGTCGACCGTTCTCTGAGATTTGTTTTCCTGATAATCGAATGTCTAAAAACGTTTAGGATATAATGCTAGTATATGGGGGCATATAATAAGTAAAAAGAAATCGCTAGTTAATACCACTAACAAGGCTCAAAATAGCCCCACACAGTAACATAATGAGGGTCCCTACATGCAAAACGAAGCATTGAGAACTTTGTAAGTGTACAGACAGTTTAATTAGAAGATATTTTAAAAAGACATCTTTGGAAAACAGTCTCGACAAGTCGAAACACGAACGCAGTTCATACAGTTCAGCTCACTTAGCACGGTGTTCGAGGTTTGACTTGTCGATGTGTCCTGCCTATATACACAAAGTGTATTTTGAGCCTTGTTATTGGTATTAACTAGCGATTTTGTTTTCCTTATTATATGCCCCCATATACTAGCATTATACGCTAAACAGTTTTTAGACATTCAATTTTCATGAAAACAAATCTCAGAGAATGGTTGACTAGGTACCAATGTGTTATTAGACCTAAGGTTCAGTTTGCGCAGGATTTCTCCTTTAATCCCATTAATGTTAATCATACTGAATCAATAGTTTGTGAAATATATCAGCTGTATAGAATTAATTGATGTGAATAGAGAGACTTGATATTTCACAGTTTAGCTGTGAACTTCTCTCTTAAACGGTAGACAATGGCGTGAGCTTCATCAAATGAGTCCGAGAGAGAGGACTGGACTCGACTCTTCCAGCTCAGCAGTTTGGGTCTGTTCTTCAAAACGTCCCTCCCGCTACCGAGGGGCTGAAAGAGACAATCAAATGATATATAAGATAAGATGCAAAGGCTAATCGGCACAAGAGGTCTTTGGATCTATTTATGTTTTACATGTACAATTGTGGATGAATATTCAATTTCATCTTAATGAAAGCTTTATTTTTATCGAGGACCACAAGCATCTCAGAAATAGTACATATTGAGTCTTTTATGTTGATTTTATTTTTAATTTAAACTATTTATTGATGGGTTTATACATATTTCAATTACTCTTTTTATAGGCCATTAATTCTTTCCCTGCTATTGATGGAAATTTCCGCTACTTATAAGACAACGCTTCCCCGCCATTGACAGAAATGTCGGCTTTCCGTGTTTTCACTTCATGACGAACTACAAGACTAAAGCTTTAGGTGTGTTGATGCACTCGATCTACTGCATCTGTTTTCTGAAACGGATGTGGTCTTTGGCCAAAATGCAATTTCTCAGCTTTGTGCTTAATATATATATATATATATATATATATATATATATATATATATATATATTTATTTATTTATTTTTTTTATTATTTTTTTTAATGAAACTTATTTTTTCTTGTTCGAGAAGCGTTTCACTTAGATATACATCCCAATATGGAAGAAAAGTTTGCAATCGTTTCCATTTCTTGACTTCAGAAGCTTAAAATGAGTATTTCTAATAGCAATAAGTTGTTCACTATTCACCACATCATTATTTAGTATGTTTAGCAACTCTAAGTATTTACCTGCATGAGCTCACAAACTGCTAACAAGTCAGCCAATGAGATGTCATCACCGCACAGGAAGGGCTGTCTCTTCAGAAACATGTTTTCCAGCTTGTCTAGTGTGCCCTCCAGGTCTGATAGCGCCTTTTCGAGCTTTGCGGGATTTGCTGGCTGTCCCGTCATGAGAGGCAGTAAACACTGTACAGGAATACAAAACCTATGAAGTCTGACAGAATTAACTGTTTTAAAGGTTAAAAGGTAAATTTTAGGTTAAAAATATTGAATGTATTTTCTCACAGAATATGATAAAAACTGTCATGTCAGTGTTGATAAGTTTGCTTTGCTCTGGGTGGAATAGATCCACTGCTGTTGATTTTTAGACTTGCTACTGCCAATAAATTCATGACACACTGCTGTGATCAAGTAAGACGTGCTACTGAATAAATGTAAATGATTTACCCATAATAACAGATCTATACAGGTGGAGCTGGGGAAGGTGGAGGGTTTCTAAAAGCCTGCTGAAAACTGCTACAGAAAATGCTGACCAGTATTTAAACCAATCAGATGTGCCCTAATGAGAATGATGTGATTGCAAGCAGATTGAGTTAAGGACCTAAGGATAAACCATCAAAAGTTTTATCACAGAACCTTGAATGTATAATAATGTGGTTTTTGATTAAATATAGTATGTCACATTGCCGTCGCTGCTTTAAATGTCATACTCTATACCTCAAGCCAGAAGACCGCGGCAGCATGTAAACGTGTGTTCGCATGATGCCAGGCTGTGTATTCATCCACTCGCGCTCTCTTCTCTGGCAGTTTGGGGTACCAGTGATCAGGGACGTTATAGGTTGTCGCCAGGTACTTCAATATGGCGTCACTGTGATGATAAATAATAGAATAGGTTAACAATTGAAACAATAATTCAAACTACTGCAACTAATAGCAATAACAATTTCAATTTTAATCTTGCAAATGCTCTTTTTTTTCTAACTACACTCTTTCTATTTACCTCTCAGTAAGAACAAATCCATTATCCTCCAACACTGGCACTTTCTGCATGGGGTTGAGTTTGGTGAACTCAGGTGTCTTCTGCTGCCCTACAGTTTCATGTTTAAGGGCATTAAAGTTGTTAATAAATTAAAGTTCAGTAAATTACATTTTTGTATAGTTCTGACATAGATACAGGACTAAGTTATATACATCGGCAGGATAACCTTTGTACATGCTTGGATTCAAGCCAGCTGGACTTTACAAATGTATTGCACAGTTTCCACTAAACAAATACCACACAATAATGCTGCTCACCTTTTCGTATCGCAATATGTTCCACCGTATGTGGGATTTTGTTGTTTTTCAGGAATATTAGCACAGCCCTGCATGGCTGCGACATGAGATCTAAATAGGCTTTCACTGCCTGTCTTCCAGCCATTGTGAAGTGTCAGTGTGTCCCCCCTGTATTGACCATAGAAATACAACGTATTCCTGTTTTGTCAAGCGTCACTGGTCGATAGTCCAATCACAAGCAACACGCTAAACGCATCAAACTCTTCTCAAAACATTTGTTCGCTAAATAGTGACTAAATATATTTAAATATATTTAATTCAAGTATAAAAATTATAATTCTCCTCATGTATTCCCTTTAAAACTATATTTTTTAAAAAAAACTCAAGTAATTGTAAACGACAGTTATTGGTCGATTCTTATCAGCGATGAGAAAAGTAACAAATACCACCTGAAAATACAAAGTTCGTCGCTTCAGTTGAGATATGAATAATTTACGGCTAAAAATGACACTGCGAGACTTTAAATGAAACGTTATCGAATATTATTGTAAAAAGAAAAGTTTAAGTTTTATAACCACAGATGCTTGCCTTGCTCTAGTTCTGTGATGCGCGTTCGTGACTCTCCTGTTCATCAAAATGAACAAATCTGTTTTCGAGTCATGACTCGAAGGCAGATAATCTGGGCCCGTATCCCTAAAGATTCTGAGAATCCTCTCAGAGAGCTCCTAACTTAATCTAAAAATTCATTGCCAGGAGTTTTAGCTTAGAAGTGATTCCAGAACATTTTCAATGAACTCTGAGCAAGGAATGGATGGAGAATCCTATCTTAGTAAGGAGGTGTGGTTGACCCCGTTGCTAGGTATGAGTCATCATCATTTCAAAATTGGTTGATCCTACAAGTTTGATGAAAATGAACTTTTGGTGATAATGAGCAAAGGATGTACCTTCAAATCAATAAACATAATTATACACTCTAATCTTATGCAGACTGTAATTGTAAATAATATTTATTTACAATTTATTTACAATAATGCCACTGTCGCCTTGCTTTTGGCTTGCTTTGAGCTTGCTCAGTTGGGGTTATTTATTTAGTGTTTAGCAATGTTGTTGATCTGTGTTGTGCTACTTACATGTTATCACTGTGAAGCTGCTTTGATACAATCTGTATTGTGAAAAGCGCTATATAAATAAATGTGACTTGACTTGACTTGACTATTTCACATTCAAGAAAATATCTGGAAAATGAATAGTAAGCTGTAGGGTTATAGCCTAACATTAGAATCTAAAATATGTGAAAACTTAAGCTCATTACACCCTGGTCAAATAATGATTCGTGTCTTATTTGCTCATATTAATATCCAAGCTGGCATATTTTGTACTTTCACTTCCATATGGACCCCATTGAAAACAAGATGGCCTATCTCAAGGGAATGTCCTATGAACTAGAAATTGCAACGGTACAACTCAGTGTGGTCTTAACGAGGCTAACACGGCTCAGCTTTTAACAATGTCTGTGATTGCTGGCTGGTCTATGTATGAAGGCTTGTTAACAAATATCCTACAAACAGAAAATGGAGAATGGCCATTTTGTGCAGCTGCTTAGAGTCCTCTTCCCTGCTCTTAGCAGATCTCGCCTTAGGAGCCATTTTAAGCACTAGGAATCTTGAGGAATAGCTTTTATATTAACTGGGATTTTAGTGTCACTTTTAGGGGAAATTCTAAGAAAACGTCATGACTCTGAGAATTTTCTTTGGCCGTTTCTCAATACCAAGTACGCAGACTTCGGACTTGCATCCTTGGTAGTTCAGGCTTGCAAGTTCGACTCCGGAGAACGAACTCCCGAGGATGCGAGGTCGCAAGTCCGGTTCTTCTGCAAATGGAACAGAGCGTAGGCCTACTTGATCGCGTCACTCAGCACGTTCTACTCTATTTTTTTTTTGCTACAACTCTGCAAATTTGCTAAAACTCTGCATCTTTTCGTCAACAATAAGACGAAATATGTTATAAAACACCCCTCTGACTCTTCATTAACAAAAAACAACATAGCCTATAATAGCCTAATGGTGGTTCAGGCAACGCGATTCTCTTCATGTTATAACACAATGAACATGATCTTTTTGTTTTCATTTTAAAAATATGAAACATTGGATTTTTATTGACATTTATCAAACAGAGACAGGGTTATGTCATTTTATTTTATTGTTCATATAGTGAAGACAATATAAAAAAAATAGCCATGAATTAAACCTTAAATACTTTTTTTTTTTTTTTTTTTTTTTTTTTTGCGCCATGGAACAAATTATAGTTTAATGAGACCAAAGATAGACTTATACAAAAGACGAGTTATACGTCAAGGTTTATCCACTAGACTAGAGAGATCAGAGCCGGCGGCAAACGTCAGAAGCACTAGCCGAGGATAAGCTGTTCCAGTCGGCGTTGATCTCGCTGAGTGTCCGCTGAAGGCTTGGATGTCAGAACTCCGAAAACGTCAGATGCATTTTACAATATAGGCGCTATATTTATAAATAAACTACAGATTTGAGATTTAAACAACCACATTCTCGCCTGAAATACTCTTAAAATTACATTTCATGACTCAATAACAGTAGTATTTTGATATTTCGCGGATTTTCTCCTCTCCCATTTACGCTTGCTGGTTGGTGCGAGGTGCATTCTGGGTTACCTGGCTATCTCAAGTCCACACAAGTCACCTCTCGATGCATCCTCGGTAAACGGGGCGGATCAAGAACACATCCGGGGATTTGAAGTGGACTTGGCTAGATGCGAACTTTCGGCAGCGACTGATGACGTTTCACAAGTCCACAAGAACACAAGTACAGACAAGTACGCATATTGAGAAACGGCCTTAATTTGGCCGTTAGGAGCCACTTTTTGCACAAAAATTCTTTAGGGATACGGGCCCTGGTGTCTTGAACTGTTTGGTTCCCAATTAAGTCCATTATATGGAGAAAATCCTGGAACGTTTTCATCAAAAACATTAATTTCTTTTCGACTGAAGAAAGAAAGACGTGGACATCTTGGATGACATGGGGGTGAGTAAATCATCAGCAAAAGTTTTTTTTAAAAGTGAACTACTCCTTTAAGTAAATAGATTCAAAACATCTGTAAAACATCTGTCAGCTTAAGATTGTTGAGATTAAAAGATAACTGTGAAAAAATACAAAGCATCATATGTTGGGGAAACATTTTCTTTATTGTCAAAATTTTTGTTGACATCCAAATAATTTCAAGCATGTTTAATGCAGTGACTTCATGACTTTTTCACAATCTTGATCCATTTTACAGAATTAAAGCAGAAACCTGTATCAAACAAGTAGCCTACACTGATTCTAAATAGTATCGCTGCATTGAGTTTTATCCATAATCATTTCTTTAAAACACATCCAATACTATTGAAAGTCCCTCATTGTACATTTCAACGACTCCCCTTGATATAAAGACAGTATTCATTTTGAAGGCACATGATTTCCTGCAGTCTGTGTGTCAATAACTAATCACACGCTAGCAAATTAAATGACTATATATAGTACACTATCACTTGTTCAACATAAGTATCTTTGTTTCAGATATTTGCTGATCTCACATTTCTCACATGTATTTTTGGCACATTTTACACATGCCCTTTCAAATATTAAAATACAGTGCTTTGTGAATGTGCTGTATTGTGTGTTTTACATTGAAGTGGACAGTAGAGGGCCCTCAGTACCATTGGCAGCAGTGCACTTCTTTCTAGAGCGAAACTCACTCTGAATCTCCAGAAATGTCTTGTTCTTGGTCTCTGGGACCACAAAGAAGATGTACGTGGCCACCAAGCAACAGATAACGAGGAAAACAAGGAAGCAGTACTGCTTTAGGCCGTTCTAGGAGAGATTAACAAAAATATTACATTGTTAAAAGCCTTCAAAATATGCATGGTAAATAATATGGCAGTGTTTTGGACAAACACAGTTGCTTTGTGAAATTGTTAATAATACAATTTTTGGATAACCCATTCTATATATTGTAGACCAGTCTATGGTCTAAGTCTAAATACAATCTTGAGAATAAACTCATTATATATCGAGAATAAAGTCGTTGTGTTTTGAGAAAAAACTCTTTAAATTTCGAGAAAAAAGTCGTAATACAATCTTGAGAATAAACTCGTTAAATATCAAGAATAAAGTCGTTGTGTTTCGAGAAAAAAACTCTTTAAATTTCGAGAAAAAAGTCGTAATACAATCTTGAGAATAAACTCGTTAAATATCAAGAATAAAGTCGTTGTGTTTCGAGAAAAAAACTCTTTAAATTTCGAGAAAAAAGTCGTAATACAATCTTGAGAATAAACTCGTTAAATATCAAGAATAAAGTCGTTGTGTTTCGAGAAAAAACTCTTTAAATTTCGAGAAAAAAGTCGTAATACAATCTTGAGAATAAACTCGTTAAATATCAAGAATAAAGTTGTTGTGTTTCGAGAAAAAACTCTTTAAATTTCGAGAAAAAAGTCGTAATACAATCTTGAGAATAAACTCATTAAATATCGAGAATTAAGTCGTTGTGTTTTGAGAAAAAACTCTTTAAATTTCGAGAAAAAAGTCGTAATACAATCTTGAGAATAAACTCCTTAAATATCGAAAATTAAGTTGTTGTGTTTCGAGAAAAACTCGTTAAATTTGTAGAAAAAAAGTCGAAATACAATCTTGAGAATAAACTTGTTAAATATCAAGAATAAAGTCGTTGTGTTTCGAGAAAAACTCGTTAAATTTCTAGAAAAAAAGTCGAAATACAATCTTGAGAATAAACTCGTTAAATATCAAGAATAAAGTCGTTGTGTTTCGAGAAAAAAACTCTTTAAATTTCGAGAAAAAAGTCGTAATACAATCTTGAGAATAAACTCGTTAACTATCAAGAATAAAGTCGTTGTGTTTCGAGAAAAACTCATTAAATTTCGAGAAAAAAGTCGAAATACAATCTTGAGAATAAACTCATTAAATATCGAGAATTAAGTTGTTGTGTTTCGAGAAAAAACTCTTTAAATTTCGAGAAAAAAGTCGTAATACAATCTTGAGAATAAACTCGTTAACTATCAAGAATAAAGTCGTGTTTCGAGAAAAAACTTAAATTTCGAGAAAAAAGTCGTAATACAATCTTGAGAATAAACTCATTAACTA